CGAGGTGGAGAAGTAGTAGGTCGGGATGCCGAGGGCGGCCGCCACAGGGAAGGCGGCGTTTGAGAAGCCATCAATGATAAGGGCCCGGAAGTCTGCGGCAGCAGCGATGCCGGCAAGGGCAAGGCGGAAGTTGGGGGCGTCGCGGCGGGCAAAATCGAAGGGCATTTGGTCGCGCTCGGCGGCGGGGACGGAAGGTGGAGGACGGTGATGGAAGAGGAGTAGGCAACAGGGGCGGCAGTCGAAGCGGAGGAGAGGATGATAATGATGGAGAAGCGAGGGTGGTGCATGTGAATGAGTCGTCCAAGCTCGAACATGGAGACTATGGGACCCTTCAAGGGCAACGGATAGAGGACTATGGTCTCCCTCATCTTTTCCTTTCCTATGGTGTTACCTTGAACGTCGAAACATAGTTTATATAGGCAAACAAGATGGCCGACAGGATTCAATTACTTCATCCTTTGCGGCTTCTTTAGAAACTAATTTCATACGGCGACAACTCTTAGGAATCCTGCTCCGATTGTTTCGAATTAATATATATGTGTAAATTGACTCGACATAACTCGACAATATCGAAAAATATTTGTTGGGCCATGATTATAACATCGAGGAAGTTTCTTGCTGTATTAAATTGCTGGGTTGCTGACCCAGCATCACTTGGTTAAAAAAAAGCCGCTTGTAGTTTGGCGCATTTAGCAAACCTTAGTATATTCGACATTATTAACTTGTTCGTACTGGTCGCAGTCCAAGAAGGAGGACCCCACCTTGCTTGGTCTAACCATACAAAACTTCCTTCGGCTTGCGTTAGGAACGTCATCGCTGAAGTCATCCATCACGGCAAAGAAATAATTTAGGGGAAGGACCATTGGAGTTGGTAAATGTAATACGTAGTTAAAGAAAAGTGAATAAAAGATGATAATAATAAAAAGAAAAATTAATAAAGTTGATAATCCAAATTGGAAGGTAATTTAATCGGAGGAAAGTTGGTAAATTAATCATTCTGATTAAGGTTGATAATTTCTAAGAAGGGTCAATAAACTTCAAGCACTGCTAAGAATACAAATAAAAATTTGCAAATGATAAGAAAAGTTAAAAGAGAAAACCAAATAAACGTCAATAAAAAGCTCGATTGAGAGTTACTAGCTAAATGTTTAGATATGATTGAATCGGAAAAAAATGTTGAATGACACTAATTTAAATTGGTTGGTAATTTCATATAAGGTTTATTAAATTTGAAGTGTTAATAAAAAATTAATAATTTGCAAATTATAAAAAAGTGAATTTGTATCGACCGCCGCGAAACAAAATAATTCAGTAACAGCCAAATAATAATAGCAAGCTCGCCATCTTCTCCCAACATAATGTACATACAAAAAAGAGATAAATCAAATTACATCTTTTTACTTCAACTTATTAGTAATTCCAAATAAATACTCAAAACTCAAAAGGACACCACGACCTAAAGTAGCTCTCGCATTGAAATTGTATTTGCCAGTTCCTTAGTGCAATTGCCTCATCTTTTCTCATTGAACTTGTCTCAAATTTGGCAAGATTGTATCATATGGTTCCAGCTTCCAAAAGATTCGACAAGTAAATAATGAGACTAATCAGGACCCCAGTAAAAAGAAATGCAAGTTGTATCTGTCTGCCATATATTACACAGACATACACATATATAAGTCAATGCCTTACAGTACTTGTATACCATTCCATTCCCACATGAAAGCTTACCTTAATTAACATACATATTGAGAGAATGACACTAGAAGTGCCAAAAGTTAAGTGTGTCGCTTACTTTAGCACCAAAAGTTTTTTTTAGATCACTTCAGTGCCATTTTAAAAAAAACGATCATTTAAGTGCCATCGTCGCTAAAATTTGACGTGGCCATTTTTTTTGTAAATTTCTCTGTCCGACTCACCAGCATGCTCAGTCAGCATATATAGCCCAAAATGGCGTTGTCTATGTGTTTTGCCACAAAATATAAACCCTAAATTGCAATTTGCAAGGAAATTCCCAAATTGAAAACCCTAAATCGATCAAAACCTTTTCGATTTGGCCCTCAATGCAGATGGACATATGTTACGGTTGGTAATGAACGAGCTTGAGGGCGAAGTACGACCTTTTGGGTTTCCTCCCCTCCCCAACACCACCCCACCCACCAACACACCACCACACCCCCCCCCCCCCCATCATCCCTGTAAGGACCCGGGTCTACACTGTGTAATATTGTTCGCTTTGGGCCCACTGACCCTCACGGCTTTAAAACGCGTTGTCTTGGGCAGAGGCGCTCTCTGGCCCTTCCTCTCCCAAGCCCAATATTGTCCTCTTTGGGGCGCAAGCCCACAGGCCAGACCCACCCCTCAAGGCTTTGTTCTCAGCACAGCGGAAACTTGTGTGAAACGCGTTACACATAATAGAGAACCCAAGCCTTATAAACTAGCCCGAGACTCCCCCTTTAAGCGATGTGGGACAGAGACATGCCTCCCTTGCCATCCTAGAAGCCTGCCAAGAGCCGCTCCTTGTCCAGGCCCTCTGGCCCCGGCGACCACTCCCCGCCCTCGTCGGACCGAGTCGTTACATTCTCCTCTCCTTCGAGCACAGCGTCCTCGCTGTGGCTCCACACGCGGTCGGGAGTCGGCTCTGATACCATTTGTAAGGACCCGGGGTCTACACTGTGTAATATTGTCCGCTTTGGGCCCACTGACCCTCACGGCTTTAAAACGCGTTACACAGAATAGAGAACCCAAGCCTTATAAACTAGCCCAGGACTCCCCCCTAAGTGATGTGGGACAGAGACATGCCCCCATTGCCATCCTAGAAGCCTGCCAAGAGCCGCTCCTTGTCCAGGCCCTCTGGCCCCGGCGACCACTCACCGCCCTCGTCGGACCGGGTCGTTACATTCTCCCCTCCTTCGAGCACAGCGTCCTCGCTGTGGCCCCATACCCGGTCGGGAGTCGGCTCTGATACCATTTGTAACGACCTGGGTCCCACTCGTAAGATATTGTCCGCTTTGGACACTAAATCCTCACGGTTTTGTTCCTCCGAGGGCAGTCCATACTACCCTCAGAAAAGGCCTCTTGCAAGTTAAGGTTTCCCAAGCCTTTATAAGCAAGCCCAAGGCTCCCTCCTTAGGCGATGTGGGACAGGAGACATGCCCTCCCTTGCCATCCTAGAAGCCTGTCGAAAGCCGCTCCTTGTCCAGGTCCTCGGACCCCGGCGACCACTCCCCGCCCTCGTCGGACCGGGTCGTTTCATTATAACGACTCGGTCCGACGAGGGCGGGGAGTGGTCGCCGGGGCCAGAGGGCCTGGACAAGGAGCGGCTCTTGGCAGGCTTCTAGGATGGCAAGGGGGGCATGTTTCTGTCCCACATCGCTTAGGGGGGGAATCCTAGGCTAGTTTATAAGGCTTGGGTTCTCTATTCTGTGTAACGCGTTTTAAAGCCGTGAGGGTCAGTGAGCCCAAAGCGGACAATATTACACAGTGTAGACCCCGGGTCGTTACAAATGGTATCAGAGCCGACTCCCGACCGCGTGTGGGGCCACAGCGAGGACGCTGTGCTCGAAGGAGGGGAGAATGTAACGACCCGATCCGACGAGAGCGGGGAGTGGTCGCCGGGGCCAAAGGGCCTGGACAAGGAGCGGCTCTTGGCAGGCTTCTAGGATGGCAAGGGGGGGGCATGTCTCTGTCCCACATCGCTTAGGGGGGAGAGTCCTAGGGTAGTTTATAAGGCTTGGGTTCTCTATTCTGTGTAACGCGTTTTAAAGCCGTGAGGGTCAGTGGGCCTAAAGCGGACAATATTACATAGTGTAGACCCCGGGTCCTTACAATCCCGGTCTCTTGCTTACTAGAACTGAGGGTGAAGTATTACCTTGTCAATGAAGCATATCCTAATCGCGGTTGGTGATCAAGTTGGAAAAAGAAGCTCCAAGAAGTGTGGACGACGGAGATCAAAAACCAGCGAGGGAGTAATGAACAAGCTTAAAGTGAAAAAGAAGATCCTGGAAGAGTGGATGATGGAGATCGAAGCCAGTGAGGGAGTAATGAACGAGCTTGAAGCACTTCGCAGTCCTTGGCCAATAAGCAGGGCAGAACATACGACTTACGTGCGGTGGTAGATATGGCCTCGAAGATGCGATTGTTGGATCTGCTTATGCATGCATGCAAATCGCAACAGCATCATATAGAACTCGCTATCAGATGATATGTACTGTGTATATATATCTTCACAATAGCATGTTCCCATCCACACCACTAGACCTTTGACCTAGTCTACTTTGAACTTGGTGTTTCCTTCACCAAGCATTGCTCGCTGTCCTCCCCGTTGACATGAGCTTCTCAGCTGCCTTCTCTGCCTTGGTTGGCAGTTTCCATTTAATCATCATCTGTCACCGATACAACATTAGCTCTCTCAAAAAGTTCACATGAAAGTTGCTGCGGTCGTGTCTGAAACGCTGGCTCTCCGCCTGCTCGAAAAGGCAAAAGTATAGGATAGTCAGATTATGTAGTGAAGTAAAAGAATGCAGTGGCAGTTGAGATAGAACGGGGAAAAATAAATATCGAGTTGAGCTTCTCGTTCTCTTCTCTAAGCTGATTGAGCTCTACTTCTAACTCAACTGCATATGCCTGCACGAAACGCATTGATTTATCCAAGACACATGCTTCTCAATTTCGCCCTATATAGTTTAGACGTGGGGGATTTTGGAAAAACGAAAAGGTCACCTGTTTCCTGGCTCGAGATCTCGTGGCCAATTCCTGGTTTTTTATCATCCCGTCGCTGCCTTTGCTCAACCCCGATTTCTGGTGGACCGTCGATTATAGGAGGGGGAACTAGCTTCTCTAATAATTTTACGTTCAACGAGTGTGTCAGTGTCGCCACCGACTTTAAGATCGATGCTTGAGATCTCTAGGTGCTTGCTATAAAAATACTTGATGATTGGTCTCTTCCTCATCCTATGTTCTGATTTCTTATTAGTTCCATCTTTTCTTCCTTATTCTGTCACTTGTTCTCCATGCTCGCTGTTTCAGACGCAGCAATCACTGTACAAAATCAATCGATATGCATTTGTTGAACATGGGTCTCGGTATATCTTGAAAACAAGCGTCTCCTTCAGAACGTGAGCATTAGAACTATCAAATAGAAAAACTGGTTTCTCGAAGACTATTTGGTTACAAATCTAAATAGCAAACTAAGACACCCACCCATGCTTTTGTTAATATTTGGTGTACTTCATGAGAAACAGTTCTGACATAGTACTAAGATTTGGTGGTTGTAGCACTTCCCGGTTGAGGTCCACTAATCAATTGACAGTGAGTGGACTTGTTTTTCAGCCTCGTTTCCATAGTGCTGCCACCGCGCCCAATGAAACCTGAGAGGATCCGCCGTCGCTCAAGGCCTCCAGCACGCCGTCTCTCGCGGCCAAGACCCGCTCTCTGACCACTTTTCCTTGTCCAGAGCCCATCATCAAGTCGGTGACCCGCTTGGCTAACTCGTCCGCACTCACGAACCCGTCCTCATCCGACATGCTCAGAGGGAGCGCCAGGGCGGCCTCCCCCACGAGAAACGCCCTGTTCACCTTCTGCTCCGCGTAGAGAGGCCAGGCCACCATCGGCACCCCAGCGTGCACCGCTTCGATGGTCGAGTTCCAGCCGCAATGAGTGACGAACCCGCCCACCGAGCCGTGATTCAGCACCTGTATCTGCGGTGCCCATGACTTCACCACCATCCCCCTCTCTCTTGTCCTCTCCAAAAATCCCTCCGGCAAGTACCTCTCTAAGCTCGCGTCGTCGTCATTTGACCCCGATGTTGATTTTGCGGACACATCCTGCGGCGGAGGCCGCACGACCCACAAGAATCTCGCCCCGCTCCTCTCCAAACCTGGACAAAAGTGTTTTATATGTCAAATACATTCTCGTAACGAAAAAGTGCAGTCAATCACTGACTTTGTTTTGTATAAACAAGAAAACTGAATTTGAACTAAATAGCGGTACGTGGTGTAATTTTTGCGCGAAATACTTCTTATTGCTAAAGGTTACCTAAGGCCATCTCCTTCAGCTGCACGGCGGAGAACCTTCCCCGGCTGCCGAAACACAAGAACACAACGCTTCGGCTCGGTTGCGAGTCGAGCCAACTCAAGCACTCGTGCTTTCTTTCTCTCTCGTCACCGCTGTCCTCGTCGCCGTCCCCCTTTGACTCAACCAAAGGTCCGACGGCAAAAATAGGCGGAGTCGGCCCATCCGGCACGCACGATCCTTCTCTGATGGCACTGAGGATCCGAGTCTCAAGTGACTCAGACGTGTTCACAATGATGCCGGATGACGAGATCATGTTCCTGCAAGCATCCAAGAAGTAGCCGTAGATTCTCCAGCCTCGGTCGAGCATGCTGCCTGGAAGGTCCAAGGCCTTGATTGGAGGCAACCCAGGAATGTTCACGGTCTCGTCTCCAAGGTCCTTGAAGCTCTTGGTGGGGCTCCCATGGAGGGTCGGAAAATGGAGAAAGAGGGAGAGGGCAACGGCACCCGAGGTGAAGAAGTAGTAGGTCGGGACGCCGAGGGCGGCCGCCACAGGGAAGGCGGCATCCGAGAAGACGTCGATGACGAGGGCTCGGAGGTCTGCAGTGGCGGCGATGTCGGCGAGGGCAAGGCGGAGGTTGGAGGCGTCGCGGCGGGCGAGATCAAAGGGCGTTTGGTCATGCTCGGCGGCGGCATCGGCGTCGGCGTCGACGGCGGCGGACGGAAGGCGGAGGACGGTGACGGAAGAGGAGTCGTAGGCGACGGGGACAGCGGTCGAGGCAGAGGAGAGGATGATAAGGACGGAGAAGCGAGGGTGATGCTTGTGAATGAGCCGTCCGAGCTCGAGCATGGAGACAATGTGACCCCTCAATGGCGACGGATAGAGGACTATGGTCTCCCTCATGTTTTCCTCTGCGGTTGGTTACCTCGAACGTCGAAACATAATTTATATAGGCAAAAAATATGGCCGACAGGGTTCAATTACTTCGTCGTTTACGGCATCTTCTAATTTCATACTCTTGTACATTATCTGAAATTAATATAAATGTGTATATAGGCTTGACATAACTCACCAATATCGAAAAATATATGTTGGAGCCACAATTATAAATTTATAATTGCTATCCGAGGTTCTTCGGGTCCAAGCTAACTTAGCTTTCGTGCTCGAAGGAAACAAAAGTCTAGTACGACCAATATGCGGACTTTTTTTTTTTTTGTTGGTCAGAACCGATATGCGGGACTTTGCGTGCACTCCACGTGGTCTGACCATGGAAAGTGTCTTCGCTTCGTCCAGACCGTCATTGCTGACGTCATCCTGAACAGGACAGGAAAAAAATTTCGGTGATAAAGAACTCGGTCTGCAGCTCCCTCTCCCGGCATTGCTGACGTCACCGGGGTCGATAAACTTAATACACACTGAAGAACGGTAAATAAAAAAAATTAATAGTTATAAGGATGAATTGGTGAGTAACTCGAACGCGATTGTGATTCAAGGGGGTGTTTATTTGAGTGAAATTGTTTTTGCGAATTAATTTTCTGAACTTTCACGTGTTTGTTTTGCTAAGAATGATGAATCAACAGAAAACCATTTATAGTAAAAAAATATTCATGCGTAAAATAAGAAAGATGGATTCTCTAGTTTGAAAAGGAGAAAATATTTTTTTTAAATGATTTTCATGGAAAGCATCTTTCTTTATAATGAATTTTTTTCCAAAACAAACACACTCTTGATCGGAAAAAAGTCGATACGTCATTCAAATTAAGTTTGATAAGTTTTGAAACGAGTCAGTAAATTTAAAGCTTTGCTAAGAGTACAAGTTAAAATTTTAAATGATAAGTTGGCAAATTAAAAAAATAACCAAATAAACGTTGATAAAAAACCCTTATGTGAGTTATTAATTAAATATTTACTGATAATTTAATCGAAGAAAAATTGGAGAATCGCACTAATATAGGTTGGTAATAAAGTTAGTACTTGGTAGATGTAAGGGATTATAAACTAAGATTGGAAACTAAGGCAAATAACAATTGGTAACTCAATGGAAAACTTAATAAATAAATAAATAAAAGATGTTAAACGTTAGTAAATAACGAGTATAAGACTTGTTAAGTCAAAACTAGTAGGTAATTTAATCTACCAAAAGTTATTAAGTTACTCTAATTTAGATTGGTAATTTCACATTTGATTTAGTAAATTCAGAGCGTGAATAAATTATGCAAATAAAAATTGATAAGTTTGTACAAAAATTACTAATTTGTGAACTATTAAAAAAATGATAATATTATAAATTTTTTGATATTTCACCATCGGTTTTCTTACACTCGTATCCTTTGCCACAAAAAAAAAAAGAATTATGCAACATCCAAATCTCAATTTCTCAATCTACCTCAATCAATTAATAAAGTAACACTTTGCCATTTCAATGGAAGACACAAAACAAATGTAAGCAAATATATATAATAATTTTTAAAAAAAATTTGGTACACGAGATTAATGGTCATGAACTGGATAAGTTCACTTCAAAAGTGGACCTAAATTTCTTTTTTCACAAATGCTTCTATGATTCGAGAAGTATCATACTCAATTCTATTTGGCAGTTCTTTAGTATATTCTCATTGAATATTGACACTTTTAGATTTCAAAGGAAAGACTTAAGGGACTAGTCACTCATTTAAATCCACCAGTCCAAATGGGATATGCCCCAAAAATAAAATTAAGGACTGAGAATAATCACAACGCAAAGAAAAATAAAAATGCAAGCTATCTGATGTCTACTATATATATTACATAGACATATATATTACATAAGACACTGCCTTACATTCCATGCATACACCTCAATTCCCACATGAAAGCTGACCTTATTAACATTCATATTATTATTACCAGTCGATTTTGGATCTGCTTATGCATGCATGCAAATTGCAACAACATTATATAGAACTCACTATCATGATATTTACTGTATATATCTCTAGACAATTAACATGTTCCCGTCCACACCACTTGAACTTTGAACTCGTCCACTTTGAACTCGTCTACTTTGAACTTGTTGTTTCCTTCACCAAACATTGTTCGCTGTCCTCCTCATTGACTTGAACTTCTCAGCTGCCTTCTCTGCCTTGGTTAGCAGTTTCCATTTCATCATCATCCGTCATGGATACAACATTAGCTCTCGAAAAGTTAACTTAAGACTTGCAGTGGTTGTGTCAGAATTGATGCAAGGTCATGCTTGTAGATGAATGTTTAGACGAAATTTTACCTCCTTTCTGCGTTTCTGTTCGCCCTCCGCCTGCTCGAAACGGCAAAAGTATAGCATAATAAGATTGTGTAGGGAAGTAAATGAATGCAATGGACAGTTGAGATCGAATAAGGTAGGGGTGATTGGTTCCAGGGTGGGTTGGGTCCAGACCCGAAACCTTAAACCAACCCTGTTATAACCGATTCCCAATTTTGGAACCTAAAACTTACCTTGTTTTCCTTGGACCCTGTTTTGGAACCGACCCTGTTTTGGAACCGACCCTGTTTTTCCGATCCGGTTTCAGGGTCTACCCGAGAACCTGTTTTTTTTTTTTTTTGTTCCTTTTTCTGGTTTCATTTTTTTCCAGCAAAATAATATAGGTAGCAATGAAACGATTCAAAGTAAAAAATGAATAATAAAAATCATTATCCGCCAAAAGTAACAATCCCTAAAATGAGCAATTGAAATTACAATCCATCAAAATCAACAATCCAAAAGCACCATGTGGAAAGACATAGTCCAATCGCATAAATCTTTAAGAGTCACATTTCCAGGGAATCTGTTCAACATGTTTAACTCTTTATTTTGCGCCATGATGAGAGAACTCCTCACTTCTGTTTCCGAATGAAATATCCTAAAAGGAAAATCAAGAGGCTTAGTAGTAAGCATCTGCTCTCACTAGAGAAATGTCTATATATATCATCTGAATCACACAATATTTAGATGACTTTAAAGGCCGTGCTGTTTCGCTCATAGTTCTGAAACAAATCCCAATATTGAGCAGCAAGTAATTTCCTCCATAAGTGCATAATGCACGTATTGGCTATTGGTAGAGCATGCAATCGATTTACTACAAGGACATGGGAAAGGTTTTCCCAAATTCAAGCTCATCAAGAAAGATGGAGAACAAGAGACATCTTTGGCCGCAAAGTCTTTGAGAAAGGTAATTACCCTGTAGGATAGGAAGTTCTAGCCAGTCTTCCAGGTGCCTTATACAATAAAACTTTTCCAAATGAGCCAACAACGACTGGACTAAAAACTACCATGAAAGGAATCCTTGGAGAACAAAATGTCGGCACCATCCATGGGATGAACCGCTAATAGATCTTAAGTCAGAACACCAAGTTTTAGGTCAACAACAGGAGATGCCAAGTATTATTGAAATAATGAAATTTTCATGGCAAGACATAGTCCAATCGTATAAATCTTTGTACTGCAGCATCTTATAGTGACAGTTAGCTCATCGCTTTGCTTTTACATGAACATTCCAAAATGAAGCAGCTAACAAGAGATTCTTAAAACTATTTTACGAGAAAAAGAGCAAAGTGATGAGATATACCTTCCTGCAACGCATACATACTTCAGTTCTGGAGTATAAAAGCACAAGATAAGCGGCTAAAAAGCAGTCCAAACTTGTTAACAGGGAGTAATTTCCCCAGACTAGGTGATAAAACAACCATCTTTACTTCTAGTACAGATGACAAATTCCTGACAGAAAATCCAGAGATCAGCTCATAAACGGCACAAATCTCTCATGTACAGATGCATAGCAGCGAAATTCCTCACCCCTAAATTCCAAGTCACTAGGTCAACATCATCAACACCTCCGTATCGCAAGCTAATACAGCTAGCAAGCTCAAAAGACCATCAAACACAGAAACAGAACCAAGCACAGGCGCGCAATCATGCAGATCTATAAAGAAACAAAACAAAAAAGCCAATTGATCAAAAGTTCACGGCAAAAAACACAGCAAGCGGATGGAGAATTTCATCGCGTACTTACAGATCTACCGGATTGGTGAGCCAAAAAGGCGGAAAAAACACACGCACGGTATGGACGCCGAGATGACCGAACCCTAGCCCTCTTCAACATGCAGGCAGGCAACGAGCTAGGTTGCGTTCTTGTGGCGACTGAGGAGGCGCTTGCGAAGAGAGAAACCGTGAGAGACAGAGGAGGTCGCGAAGAGAGAAGAGAGAAATCGTAAGAGACAGACTGGGTAGCCGGGTAGGATAACGTGATCTAAAGTTTTTACTTTTTTTTATATTATCTCAAAACCGGTTCTAAAACCGGTCCGGGTCGGTTTTTACTTGGAACCAGGAACCGGACCGGTTCTAACCGATTCCCAAAAAATGGAACCGGTTCCCGGACCTGTTTTTCGGGTGGGCCAGTCCGGTTTTCGAGTAAACCTGGTCCGGTTGCACACCCCTAGAATAAGGCAAAAGATCAAATTTTTTACAACAATCCTTTTGAGCTTCTCGTTCTCTTCTTTAAGCTGATTGAGCTCTACTTCTAACTCAACTATGTATGCCTGCACGAAACGCATTGATTTATCAAAGACACATGCTTCTCAATTTCGCCCTATATAGTTTTGACGCGGGGGATCTTTGGAAAAAAGAGAAGGTCACTTGTTTTTTCCTGGCTCGAGATCTCACGGCCGGTTCCTGGTTTTTGACTCAACCACGATTTCTGGCAGACCGTTGATTATAGGTGGTGGAACTAGCTTCTCTAATAATTTTCCGTTCAACGAGTTTGTCACTGTCGCCTCCAACTTTAAGATGCTTGAGATCTCTAGGTGCCTGCAATGAATATGCTTGATGATTGGTCTCTTCCTCATTCTATGTTCTGCTTTCTTACTAATTCCATCTTTTCTTCCTTATTCTGTCACTTGTTCTCTATGCTTGCTGTTTCAGACGCAGCAATCCACTGTACAGAATCAATCGATATGCATCTGTTGAACATGGGTCTCGGTATATCTTGAAAACAAGCTGTCTCCTTCAGAATGGAAAAACTGGTTTTTCGAAGACTATTCGGTTACAAATCTAAATAGCAAGCTAAGACGCCCGCTCCACGCTTTTGTTAATTTTTGGAGTACTTCATTGGAAACAGTTCTGACATAGTACTCTAATTTGATCGTTGTAGCACTTCCCTGTTGAGGTCCACTAATCAATTGACAGTGAGTGGACTAGGGTCTCAGCCTCGTTTCCATAGAGCCGCCACAGCGGCCAATGAAACCTGAGAGGATCCGCCGTCGCTCAAGGCCTCCAGCACGCCGTCTCTCGCGGCCAAGACCCGCTCTCTGACTAATTTTCCTTGTCCAGAGCCCATCATCAACTCGGTGACCCGCTTGGCTAACTCGTCCGCACTCACGAACCTGTCCTGGTCCGACATGCTCAGAGGGAGCGCCAGGGCGGCCTCCCCCACGAGAAACGCCCTGTTCACTTTCTGCTCCGCATAGAGAGGCCAGGCCACCATCGGCACCCCAGTGTGCACCGCTTCGATGGTCGAGTTCCAGCCGCAATGAGTGACGAACCCGCCCACCGAGCCGTGATTCAGCACCTGTATCTGCGGTGCCCATGACTTCACCACCATCCCCCTCTCTCTTGTCCTCTCCAAAAATCCCTCCGGCAAGAACTTCTCTAAGCTCGCGTCGTTGTCATTTGACCCCGATGTTGATTTTGCGGACACATCCTGCGGCGGAGGCCGCACGACCCACAAGAATCTCACCCCGCTTTTCTCCAATCCTGGACAAAAGTGTTTCATAAACAAGACAATTGAATTTGAACTAAGTAGCGGTACGTGGTGTAAACTTTGCACGAAATACTTCTTATTACTAAAGCTTACCTGAGGCCATCTCCTTCAGCTGTACGGCGGAGAACCTTCCCTGGCTGCCGAAACACAAGAACACAACACTTCGGCTCGGTTGCGAGTCGAGCCAACTCAAGCACTCGTGCTTTCTTTCTCTCTCGTCAGCACCCTCTTCGTCGCCGTCGACCTTTGACTCAACCAAAGGCCCAACAGCAAAAATAGGCGGAGTCGGCCCATCCAGCCCGCACGATCCTTCTTTGATGGCACCGATGATCCGAGTCTCAAGCGACTCAGACGTGTTAACAATGATGCCGGACGACGAGATCATGTTCCTGCAAGCATCCAAGAGGTAGCCATAGATTCTCCAGCCTCGGTCAAGCATGCCGCTTGGCATGTCCAAGGCCTTGATCGGAGGCAACCCAGGAATGTGCACGGCCTCGTCTCCGAGGTCCTTGAAGCTCTCAGTGATGCTTCCATGGAGGGTCGGAAAGTGGAGGAAGACGGCAAGGGCAACGGAACCCGAGGTGAAGAAGTAGTAGGTTGGGACGCCGAGGGCGGCCGCCACAGGGAAGGCGGAATCTGAGAAGATATCGATGACGAGGACTCGGAGGTCCATGGCGGTGGCGATGTTGGCAAGGGCGAGGCGGAGGTTGGAGGTGTCGTGGCGGGAGAAATCGAAGGGCGTTTGATCGCGCTCGGTGGGACAGCAGGGTCAGACGGAAGGTGGAGGACGGTGATGGAAGAGGAGTCGTAGGCGACAAGGGCAGCGGTCAAAGCGGAGGAGAGGTTGATAACGATGGAGAAGCAAGGGTGGTGCTTGTGAATGAGCCGTCCGAGCTCGAACATGGAGACTATGAGCGCGAATGATAACCATTCTGTTCCAGAAACAATTCCTGGAATATAAATAGATTTTTCTATTTCTGTTTCCAAAACGAGTTTCTAAGAAAAGAAACCCGTTTGATAACGACAACAAATTTCTATTTCTGGAACAGAAACCCGTTTGATAACAGTATAAAATTTCTATTTCTTGGAACATAAACCCGTTTGATAACAATACAGTTTTCTATTTCCCGGAACATAAATCCATTTTTTTAGAAATAGTCTCTAAAATGAAAATCAATCAAAACACCCAAACCCTAGTAAAGTCCTAAAGGCTTATTCATTCAAAGGATTGTGTTGTTTTTTTAGAGTTTTAGGGTTTTTTAGGGGTAAAGACCCCTTTTGGGAGTTAAATTCCTTTTAGGGTTTTTTAAGGGTCAAAATCTCTTTTAAATCCCTAAATTAAGGAGTCTTCAAAAATAACATTTAGGTACCTCAAAAAATTTAAATTTCACTCAAAGTGGGTGGCTACAGGTATTTTAAGCCATTCTGTGAAGTTTTGAAATTTTTGATTTTTTGATTTTTTTTGAAAAAAATTCATCAAATTTCCTATTTTCCGAAATCTGACTTTTTTTATTTTCTGGAATTTTTCATGGATTTTTCTGGAATTTTTCAATTTTTATGGATTTTCTGAAAAAAAAAAATTTGAGATTTTTAGGAATTTTCCGGATATTATAATTTTTTATGAATTTTTTGATTTTTTTCTGATTTTTCTATTTTATTATGATTTTTCTAATTTTTTTAGAATTTTTTTTATTTTCCCGCTAGGAATGAACTGGACCGAACCGGTTCGGACCGGTCTGACCAGGTCAGACCGGGGTCAAATTTAGAAAGAGATGTGTTTTGAAGAGAGAAGACATGTTCTTTTAGAAATGATTTTCATTTCTCGTCCAGAAACAGAAAACCTACTCTTTTTTTGTTTTGATTTTTGGTCCAGAACCAGTTCTTGAGCAAAAAGTTATTCCAGAAATAGAAAAATGGAATTGCGTTACCAAACGGATTTCTATTTTAAATCTGTTCTTGGGAACAGAAAATTAGTTCTAGACAAAAATAAAATAGTTATTATTTGCGTCCTATGTGACCCCTCAACAGCGACGGATAGAGGACTATGGTCTCCCTCATGCTTTCCTGTGGTGGTTACCTTGAACGTCGAAACACACAGTTTATATAGGCAAACAATATGGCCGACATGGTTCAATTACTTCATCCTTTACGGCTTCTTCTGATTTCGTACTCTTAAACATTGTCTGAAATTAATATAAATGTGTAAATAGGCTCGACATAACTTGACAATATCGAAAAATATATGTGGAGCCATAATTATAAATTTATAATTGCTGTCCGAGGTTCTTTGGGTCCAAGCTAACTTAGCTTTCGTGCTCGAAGGAAACAAAACTCTAGTACGATCAATATGCGGACTTTGCGTGCGCGCGACTTGGTCTGACCATGGGAAAGTGTCTTCGCTTCGTCAAGACCGTCATTGCTGACGTCATCTTGCACAGGACAGAAAAAAAATTTAGGTGATAAATAACTCGGGCTGCAGCCTCCCTCTCCCGTCATTGCTGACGTCACCGGGGTCGATAAACTTAATACACAGTGAAGAACGGTAAATAAAAAAAATTAATAGTTATAAGGATGAATTGGTCGAGCGAGAATGTGAATTAGGGCGTGTTTGTTTTTTTGGTCAGAGGACGTGTTTGTTTGAGTGAAAAAAATTTCGCGAATTAATTTTCCGAATTTCCACTCGTTTGATTTGCCGAGAATGACTAGTCAATAGAAAATCATTTACGATCAAAGAAAATATTCATGCATAAAATAAGAAAAATGAATTCCCTAATCTGAAAAATAGAAGACATTTTTCTTGAAAACGACTTTACGGAAAGCATCTTTCTTTATTTGAAAACAAACACACTCTTAATCGAACAAAAGTTGATAAGTCATTCAAATTAAGTTTGATAAATTCTTAAAAGAGTCGGTAAATTTAAAGCTTTGCTAAGAATACAAGTTAGAATTTTATACGATAAGTTGGCAAATTAAAAAATAACCAAATAAACGTGGATAAGAAACTCATATGTGAGTTACAAGTTTAATATTTAGTGATAATTTAATTGGAGAAAAATCAGAGAATCACACTAATTTAGGTTAGTAATAGAGTTAGTAGATGCAAGGGATTGTAAACCAAGGCAAATAAAAATTGGTAACTCAACGGGAAAGTTAATAAATAAACAAATAAATAAATAAGTAAAGGATGTTAAACGTCAGTAAATTACTAATATAAAGTTGGTAAGTCAAAACTAGTGAGTAACTTAATCTATCAAAAGTGATTAAGTCGCTCTAATTTAGATTGGTAATTTCAAATTAGATTTAGTAAATTCAAAGCGTGAATGAATAATGCAAATAAGAATTGATAAGTTCGTACAAAAATTACTAATTTGTGAACTATAAAAAAATTGATAATTTTATAAAAATGTTAATATTTCACCAACGGTTTTCTTACACTCGTATCCATTGCCACGAAACAAAAGACTTCTGTAACATCCAACTCTCAATGTCTCGATCTACCTCAATCAATTAATAAAGTTACACTTTGATCCTGCCATTTCAGTGGAAGACACAAAACAAATGCAAGCAAATATAAATGATATTTTTTTTTGGCACACGAGATTAATGGTCATGAACTGGGAAACGAGTGACTAGTCTCATTGAAATTGTCTGAAATTTGACACTTTTAGATTTCAAAGGAAGGACTTAAGGGGCTAGTCACTCATTTAAATCCACCAGTCCAAATGGGATATGCCCCAAAAATAAAATTAAGGACTGAGAATAAACAGAACCCAAAGAAAAATGAAAATGCAAGCTATCTGTCTACTATATATATATGCTACATAGACATATATATTACATAAGACAATGCCTTACATTCCATGCACACACTTCAATTCCCACATGAAAGCTGACCTTATTAACATACCCATTATTACCAGTCGATTTTGGACCTGCTTATGCATGCATGCATGCAAATTGCAACAACATTATACAGAACTCACTATCATGATATTTACTGTATATATATCTCTTGACAATTGACATGTTCCCGTCCAAGCCAGTTGAGCTTTGAACTCGGTGTTTCCATCACCAAGCATTGCTCGCTGTCCTCCTCATTGACCTGAACTTCTCAGCTGCCTTCTCTGCCTCGTTTGGCAGTTTCCATTTCATCATCATCTGTCATGGATACAACATTAGCTCTCAAAAAGTTCACATAAGACTTGCGGTGGTTGTGTCTGAATTGATGAAAGGTCATGCCTATAGTTGCATGTTTTAGACGAAATTTTACCTCCTTTCTGCGTTTCTGCACGGTCTCCGCCT